CACACACATAAACTCACACACATAAACACACAAATCCCTTGACAATGCAGAGCAACATTGAGCTTCTCCCCCTCGGCGCAGCTTTTTATATGTTAGATTGTCTAACAGAGACTTACTTAAACAAAACTGCATTAATACAACTACATCACAAGATTTATGGAATAAACAGAGARCCATGCTTTCTATCATGTACACTTTAAGGCAAAGTGTAAAGACCTGCAAGGGTTTAGCTTTCTGTGAACAGCGAGAACAAACAGCCCAAATCTAGAACAAGTTAAAGTMTTTTGGGGGTGGGGGGGTTCGTAAGGACACACGGCATGAGAAAGCAAGAGATCATGGATTTTAGGTCCACCAGGAGGCAGGAAATTCCTCAGTGAGGAATGTCCAAGTTGTCCAAATGCCATATTTACAAAAAAAAAAAAAAAAAGGAGAAACTTACTGCAGAAAGTCCCAGTTTAGTGTATAAACTGCACAGTTGAATTTGCTTAAGTGCACAGTTGCTGCAATAAATAATATTTTGGTGAGTATATGTGTTGATTTTGTTTTAACACCACATAAAAAAACCACAGAAATACAGACCCCATGCGAAAGAATTCATACCTTTAGTATTACAAATTTAATTATTTTAGTGATTTCTAAGGACATTTTGTTCCTTCTGGATTCTGTGCAAACCTGCAGACATGGACTCATGGACTCAGGTGCACCACAGAAACACAACAATAAGTGGGTCTCATAGTGGTCAAACAGCATTACGTAAAAAAAGAGATGCAAGTAGATTTATCAAATAAAATGGTTTAAACAGTTTATTGATGGAAAATACAGTTTTCAGCATCAAAACATATAAAAAGGCCACATAATTGTTTTAGCAATTGTACAGTGTGATACAGCATTTTAATATTTGGTTAGGAACCAGCTGCAGCTTATGTTGATGTATCAATTTAAAACATTGTTTAAAGGTGAAGGCTTAATTACCCAACAGTGACCTTTGAATCCTAATATGTATGTGTTCCTATCTGGAAAAAGAGAGAAACAAGTCAACAAAAATCTACATTCATTTGGTAAAATAAATCCCAAGACTTTCTTATTAATTTTTTTAACTTTTTACTTTTTGATATTAGTTACCATTTCTAACTGTAGAYAACAGCACAGCTTGTTTAGTTTCAGGAAATCATTAACTTTCACAATGCTGATTACATTTAGATTAATTACACTGTTCTTTTCTATTGTTTTCTAAGTTGCCGTGGTAATTAGTCACACATCATTAAAATGCAGGAAATAAATTATTATWTAGGATTTTTTTTAGACATTAAACATTTTCTACTAAATTATTTTGGACTAATCTGCATGTTGATGTGGTACACAATGTGTAA